GAGCTAACATCCATGCCAATCCTCTTCTTTTTGCTGAGGAAGACTGGCCCTGAGCTAACACTCATGCCCATCTTCCTCTACTTTATATGGGATGCTGCCACAGCATGGCCTGACAAGCGGTGCCTCAGTGCATGCCGGGGATCCGAACCCAGGCTGCCAGCAGCGGAGCGCATGCACTTAACCACTATGCCATGGGGCCAGCCCCTGTAAATAAAGTTTTATTGGAAGTCTCATCCATTCATTTGTGTGTTGTCCATGGCTGTGTTCACTCTATAACAGCATTGTTGATTAGCTGCAATAGAGACCGTATGGCCTGCAAAGCCTTAAATATTTTACTGTATTTGGCCTTTAATAAAGAAAAAGTTTAGGGATCCTGGTCTAGCCAAACAGATAAGGAAAAGAGAACAGACACAAATTATCAACATCAGAAATGAGAGAGCTGGCATCACTACAGATTTTACAGATATTTTAAAAATAATAAGGGATGGGGCCGGCCCTGTGGCTTGGTGGTTAAGTGCGCGCGTTGCAATGCTGGCGGCCCGGGTTCGGATCCCGGGTGCGCATCGAGGCGCCACTTCTCCGTCCATCCTGAGGCCGAGTCCCACATGCCGCAACTAGAAGGATGTGCAGCTATGACATACAACTATCTGCTGGGGCTTTGGGGGGAAAAAATAAAATAAATAAAATCTTTAAAAAAAAAATAAAAAAAAAAATAAAATAAATAAAATAAAAATAATAAGGGAATATCATGAACACCTTTATGCCAATAAATTAAAAAAAAACTTATTGAAATGGACAAACTGCTTGAAAGACACAAACCACCAAAGCTCACTCAAGACGAAATAGATAACCTGAATAGCACTATAGCTGTTAAAACTGATAAAGGGTATCATATTTATTCATGGATGAGATTTGGTAGTTTGTGGTTTTCAAGGAATTGGTCTATTTCTCCCAGTCCCTTTTAAGGGCTCATCTGATTAGGTAAGGCCCACTCAGGATAATCTCCCATGTTACTAACTCACCCGATTGACTTAGACTTTACTTACACCTGCAAAAATCCCTTCAGCTTTGTCATATAACTTAACCTAATAATGAGAGTGAAATCCATTATATTCATAGTCCTGTCCACACTCAAGGGGAATGAATTATATAGAGCATGTACACCAGGAGGCAGGAATCCTCGGGACCAACTTAGAATTCTGCTTACCACAAATAAGGAAACACAGATTTCTCCACTGCAACATGATTTTCATTCATAAGATATTGGAAACAACATACATAAGAGCAGGTGAATAAACCGTAGTACATCCACACAATGCAGTGATTTGTAATTGAGGTATAATTCACATATATACAACTCAGTGATTTTGAAAATATACTATTAAGTGAGAAAAGCAAAGTTCAAGAGTATTTATAGTAGGCTACTTCTGGTATAAGAAGAGGAAATTTAAAAATACACATGTATTTGGTTATTTTGGCAAAAAGAAACAGGAATGTTTTGGAAAAAGAAAAAAACAATAAAAATAAAACAAACTGAGGAGACTGGTTGTCCACAGACAGTGGATAGAAACAAGGTAAAAAAGATGGAGATGTTGAGTGGGGATGGAAGGTATCAGGGCTAATGACACTTCTGAGTATACTTTTTGTAATTTTAACTTGGAACCGTATTAATATTCTGTATACTGTAAAATACAATCAACAAGTCTAGGTGGAAAAGAAGACCCTAAGATGGAATATAAACAAAAACAAGTTAACATAAATGTATTTCAAATGAGTAACCTAGTCACATTGAAGGAAGAAAACTAACATGTTATTTTGACTACGTACCCTCATAATAAAGTCAAAAAGCTGTAAACAAATATTTAACTCCTTAGTTAAATGAGATTACTTTCTCTGCAGCAGTAAGGTTTACCAATTTTGAAACTACTTTCTCTGTATTTTAGGATTAAGCAAAAGAGTAAATATATTGAGAATAATGGGAGCCAGATTTCTCATTGTTGAAGGCAAAGGACAGAAAAAACCCTGTGGTGGTGGACTGAAATTGGATGTATTGGTATGAACTCCTGGTGGTATATACAGATATAAAAATATGTATGTATATAACACACATACATAATACGTATATACACACATATATAACATATTTCCTAGCTCTACTGAGAGGCCCTACAAGCAATAGTCCCCTGCCCCTCCAGAGTAACAAGGTACACACCAAGCGCCCAGATCTTGGTTTCTAAATACTGTTCTCCCCAAAAGGATCCAGGATTTCTGGGCAAAATGACCAACTCTAGGGCTGAGGCAGGAAAAATACAAAATGAACCTGGAATATCTCATGCCAGAAAGTAAGGATGTGCTCAAGGAATAGCTGGGCATGCTAAAAAGACACAGGAACCAATTAGCCAAATCTGGCCATCAAAATAAATACAGGCATGTTATGCCACATAACAGGGATGTGTTCTGAGAAATGCGTCGTCAGGCGATTTCATCATCATGTGAACATCACAGAGTGCACTTACACAAACCTAGATGGTTAGCCTACTTACACATAGACTATATGGCACTAATCTTATGGGACCTCTGTCATATATGCGGTTGGCCATTGACCAAAACGTCGTTAGGCGGTGTCTGCCTGCATATTTGAGCATCGAAATAAATGACAGAGATGGATTATAAAAAATTGAATAAGAATCCATTTTGATATACATGAATAAACGGGGGAGAAAGAATAGCTCTTCCTTAACGTAGAATGCCAACTAAAATGTAGAGGGAATGATGGAGTTAGAAAATCACCATTTGACTTGTAATAATTCAGGCAAGAATCATCACGGACGCTAAGAGTAGTCAGTGAAGGTTTGATGAGGAACAGGATATTTATAGTCTCAAAATATCTCCCCACAAAATACTAATTAAAAAGGGAAAAATAGTAACTTTACAGTGGCAAAACGTGGCAGACTGTCTTAACCAAGTGATCAAAGTTATTACCAACAATGGGACAAACGGACACCATGTGGCCATGCATCAGATGATGCCCTGAGAAGGAGACAACATCCTTTCCAGTATTCCTACCAACACCGCATAGCCCGAATCTAATTGGAAGAAAACATCAAACAAACCCAAATTAAGGAACATTCTACAAGATAACTGGCATATACTCCTGACAAGTGTAAGGTCACTGAAAACGAAGAAATGTGAGGAATTGTCCCAGATTAAACAAGGCTAAAGAGACATAATAACTAAATGCAACACATAATCTTGGACCAGTGAAAAATGTTTTTTTACTATAAGGTCATTATTGGAACAAATTTGGTACTGGGAAAATTTGAATAAGGTTTGTAAATCAGATAATAGTATTGTATCGATGTTAATTTCCTGATTATTGTACTGTGGTTAAATTAAAAGAGTCTCCTGGGGCCGGCCCCATGTAAGTGTGCACGCTCCACTACTGGCGGCCCAGGTTCAGATCCCTGGCGCACACCAATGCACCGCTTGTCCATGCACCGCTTGTCCGGCCATGCTGAGGCGGCGTCCCACCTACAGCAACTAGAAGGATGTGCAACTATGACATACAACTATCTACTGGGGCTTTGGGGAGAAAAAGGGAAAAAAAGGAGGAGGATTGGCAATAGCTGTTACCTCAGAGCCAGTCTTCCTCAGCAAAAAGAGGAGGAGTGGCATGGATGTTAGCTCAGGGCTGATCTTCCTCACAAAAAATAAATAAATAAATAAAAGAATGTCCTTGTTCTTAGGAAATACATGCTGAAGCACCTGGGGTTAAGGGACACCATGTCTGCAACTCCCTCTCAAATAGTTCAGGAAAAAAATTATGGATAGAATGCTGAAGCAAATTAAAAACAGCAATTCTGTCAAATGCCACGATTTGGAAATATGGCAGTGAATTCAAGAAACAGCTTAAAAAACAAAGCAGTCAGCTTTTGGGAGATAATTTTGGGAGAAGAAAAGAGGACAAGGAATTATTTCTTAAGTCTTTTAGCTGTACCTTTTAGTTGCATACATTTAAAAAAATATTTCAAAAAGTATATCCATTATAAAACATTTAGAAACTATATGTTACTAAAAAAAAAAGTAAAAAAAAAAAAAGCCCACTGCTATTTTACTCAATGTCTAATCCAACCAAAGGGAGGGGAAAAAAGTTGTATTTTCTATCAGGTCTATCTCCACCCCACAGAAATGAAAGTTGTGGGCAACGTGACTATTCTCTGCCCTAGCTGGGAGAGGATCCTTCCCCCACCTCCTTCAAGTCCCAGGGAGATCTGAATGATGCCCGAAGCAGTGCAAGTCTCTGTCCTTCTGGCTTCTTTTTCACCTGAGACATGAAGGTCTTTGTGAGTTAAATGACTGCTGGTGATTTTTATTGAGGTTTAACTGACATACAATAAATTGTGTAACCCTACAGTTTATAGTCTTCTTCTGGTCCAGCTTCTTTCTCTAGCATAATTCAGACCCCGATTTGAGTCCTGGCTCTGCCATGAATTAGCTGCATAACCTTATGCAAGTCATTCCTTTCCACCTATGAGATGGGGCAATTCTTCCCACCTTTCCCACCCCCACTAGGCTACTGGGAAAAAAACAAATGAGCTCCAAATGATCTAAGATGCCAGATGGTCCTGTGCGAACTGTGAGGCGCTGAGGGATAATGGATAATTCTGCTAAGGTTCAACTACTTTCAGGATTCAGGCTTTTGAGCAATCTGCTTTTCTCTATTCAGTCAGAGGCAGCCCCTAACCCCAACCCAAATCATCACCAGGGCTGCAGCAAGCTGTAAGTTTCCTCAAACTCCAATATAAGAGAAAACTATACATACTCTGAATGTCTGGTATTCTCTTAGACGGCGCTCACGCTGGATCTGCTAGGGTTCTAGAAAGCACAGAGAAAGCCTAGTCCTGCTCACCTTCCCCTAGACCTCAGAGCTGACTCCAGCCCACCCTGGCCTCCTTGAGGTCTCCATGGAGCGCACAGGAGAAGGAACCACAAGACTCAGCTGAACTCCAAGTAAAAACTTTATTTCTATTACAAGGATGTTAATAATTATAATAATAACAGTAAAATAAAAAAGAGGGGGAGGGGGCTCTTGGTTTTCAGAGCAAGCCACGGAGGTCACAGGCTCCATCCTGATCAGGGCAGAGCCCAGCATGGCCCTGGCAGGGAAAGGGAGCCCCCGGCCTTCTCCATCAGAAGCCAGTGAAGACAAAGGAGCCACACTCTCCACCAGAAACAGAAGGCAGTGAAGCCAAACGCCAAAGAAGCAGATTAAATCAAAGCCCCAAGTCCACTCACCTCTAGCTCAACTCATCTCAAAAACCCTGTTCCTAACATAGATTGCAACTTTCTTGAAGGCTTTATAGGAGCTCCTCCACACACCCCAGAGGCCCAAATTCTAGAGTGGGGGGAGACAGTACACAGGAGAGGTTACCCAAAAGTTTCCAAATTTAGGCCCCCACAGGGAAAAGAAGCACTTCACTGGTGAGGGTACCAGAAACTCTCTCCTCTTTCCACCAGGACCACACAGCACCAAGAAGTAGTGGTGACAGTATGTCAAAAGATGGAGCCCTGGTGGGCTGAGAGACCATAACGTGTATTTCTGTGCTGCCAAAAGGCAGCAGCTAAAGCTGAAATGTTTCTCAACAGCCTCCCTGCTAACCCTCCCTCAAACCCTCAAACTCCCACAGCACAGTCTCAAAAGACACAGAATGGCCATAACCTAGAAAGAGCAAAAATCTGTAATGTCTTCCCTGCCAGAGAGCCTGAGAGGCGGGGCCCGCGCTGTGGCAAGTGCTGCCGTGCAGAGAAGATGGAACCAACATGCAGGTTCTCTGCAGACACCATTACTCCTCCTCCTCTTCCTCCTCTGCATCCCCAGCTCCCTGCTGCTTGGGAGTTTTTGCCTGTTGAACAATAGAATACAAAGTTTATGTAGAAAGTGAAAAAGCAGTACTCCTCCCTTAGAGCCCTGAAAATGTCAAGCCTGTATAGAAAACTCCTCATCAAAAGCCAAAAGAACAGTCCTTTAGCCACATCAGCCTGATGCCCAGCTCCTCCCCTGACTTCAAGAACCACCCAGCCCCATCCACTTCTGAGTCCTCACTGTGCATTAGAGGCTGGATCCCCGGTTACCTTTGCAGTTCTGCTGCGGTAGCTGGTGGTTGTGGGGGTGACCCGGGAGTTCCTGCCATCTTCACTCCTACCACTGAAAGAGAAGGATTGGAAACTAGTTCCTGAGATGCTCCTGAGCAAAAGTCAGAAAATTCAGAGAGAACAGAAACAGCTGGAACCAGACACAAGCAGCTGCTAGGAGACAAAACAAATGAACAAAAACACTCCCACAGACAGCAAAAGAACATTTTGGAATCAGGCCACAACACAAGCAAAGTCCACACTCCCATGTTCTCCTGAGCTACTCATTCCCAAGGCCCACTCCGACTGACTCTTACCTTGCTCCATATCTCCCTGAAGACCCACGGGGGAAAGAGGGCACAAGGTTTTCTGGATAGAGATTTCGAGTGGGGTGAATCACTGGGACGTGCCCAGTGGCCACGGCCCCATCATGGCTGTTTCGATTCCGCCCCTGGCTGTCTAGGTTGTTGAGCTTCAGTACTCGAGGCGGGCTGGGCTGGCACCCAGGCCTGGGGCCTGATGCGGATGTTGACAGTCGGTTAGAGGTAGCTGTCATATTGTTAATGGGTCTGCTGGGGGGAAGCGGGTAGGTGGGCCAGTTAGCTGTTTCCTGCTTGATATCATCCATGTAACCAGAGGACAGGTCTCCTGAGAAGAGAAAAGAGAACTAGCTTTAGGGAAAAGCCTGCTCTTGCTGTTAGTGCTGGATTCGGAGCAGGAACAAAAAGATTCTGGGTAGAAGACAACTGCCTCACCCCTAATGGCTGCTGAAACTCATGTCTCCAGGACGGGGCTGGGAACACTTTGTCCACATCACACACTTATCACCTGAGTCCTCAAATACAGCCTCCTAACATTCAACAATGATGTGCAAGCAAACCTTGAAAAATAATCTCTAATTGGCTTTGTAGTGGCTGGGTTTCAAAAACAGCTTACTTGCCTAGTCATGAGGCTCTTAAATAATAATAATACTAATAAGTTTGAGTACCCTAAGCATATTTCAACTAGAATTGGGGGCCTAGGGCAGCCACAGTAAGGTCTGAAAATTATCTCCAAATAATCCACTAAGTGCATAGAAAGGAGACCCCAGCTGAAAAAGCACTGACTACTAAGCATGTCTCATGGCTGTCCCCGAAGCCATTACCCTACAAAGCTACACTCAGGACAGCTCGGTCTAACACAGGACTACAACTAGCCACAAGGAAGTCCCCAGTGAGATCCTACCGTGCTTGGTAATTTGGGATTCAGGTAACCCTCGTGTTAGAGTAGCAGATGAGAAGTGTTAAGCAGGCCTGAGCCAGGAGCAGACCTGCGGCCTTGGCTCAGCCCTGGTTAATACCCTGGTGTCTGATACGCCTCTTGGGCAGCTCTGGCGAGGTCTCTCGAGGCTGGAAATCCTGTCTAGGAATCCTCTCCGTCACATGGTTGTTTGCTGTGGCTGGGCGTTGGTCACATTGGTCCTAACAAAAAAAACTAGAATTAGTACCTCTGGACTGATTCATTCCCAGGAGGGAGCAGTGGGAAGAAAGAAAGGAACAACAGGTTGGATAAACACACCTTATCTCGGTGTGGGGGATGACTTTGACACCACTGAGAGGAAGGGCCTGGGACTAAAAAGAAGCACATCTGGAATGGAGCGATCATTCACATTAGCACCCAAGGCACTAACAGCAGCACTCTCTGATTTGTGGAGGGATGAAGGGTTGGTCTTAGAGCTCAGAAAATCATGTCTGTACTTTGACCATAGAGTATTTATATGGTTGCTTATTTCATAGTCTCCCCTAGGAGACAACAAGCAGTCACTTATCTACTGCTTGATCCAGAAGCAGAAGTCTTTATTACAGAAATGAAATGTGTGGTGTTCTAGCAACAGCTTTATGGCACCAACTACAGAAATGACCCTGAAAATACCTGCAGTGTTAGCTCCCCATAACAAACACGATTGGGCACAAAATGTATTTTCCTCTAACAGTTTGGAATCCTAGACTGCAAAAGCTGAAAAAGGACTTCCGATTGTCTAGTCTAACTCCTTCATTTACAGATGTCCACAGTGAGGGGACAGGACCTACCCAGGGTCAACCGTAAGGGCAAAGCCAGAACTAGACCCCCAGGTCTCCTGGAATGCAACACTCAAATGCTACCACAACAGGAAGAACCCACCCAGCCGAAAGTAGAGTGCATCAGTGACCTCAGGAAATCTCTCAACTAAACCCTCTGACAAGCCTCCATGCCTGCTTAAATGGAGTCCTGGCTCCTTGGGCCTCAGCTAGTGACATGAGGGTTTTAGTTGGCAGAAGGCAGAGAAAGGATGAAGGCCTGAAGTACTGTATACCTCACACAGCTCACAAAACAGGGCACGGCCAGTAGCCAGGCCAGGTATGCATGCAACTTAAAGGCTAAAGAAGCGTTCTCAGCTCCAGCCTCTGGTTCATTCACAGAGCATCAACGTGGAGCGAAGCAGATGGGTCCTCTAGGGACTCTTACCTGGTGATGGAATAGCACCTCCTCTTCTAGCTGTACCCCGCAAAATTCACAGGGGATGATGATGCTGTCCTCCACATGGGGTGAATGGCTCAAGCGCATCAAAGAGTCTAACTGGTTACTTGCAGCCTGCTGCAGATATTTCTGGAAGATGCTATCAGGGTCTTCCACCCCTTTGGGGGAAGTGCTACCCATATTGAGTGGAGGTAAGGCACATGAAGGGTTACAGCTTGTCTGTCTCAAAAAACATAGGTTAAAAAAAAAAGCATAGGTTAGGAAAAAACTACATTCCTAAAACAACATTTTCTAGAAGTCATAAAATTTTAATAATTCTTTTAATGTCAGGGAGAGGAACTAAAAAGGGTTAGGGGAATGCAGATGGAACATATTACTTTTATTTTAAACATTTCTGTGCTGTTTTAATTTTATTTTACTGTCTTCATGTGATTGTTCTTTTTAAATTAATTTGAAAAGATTTTTCCCATAGCCATACAGTAAGAGAGGCCCAAATATTCTTGGTTATCCCTATTAATGGATTTTCTAATGTTGCTCCCAAACCAAAAGCTACATGTATTCACACACTGTATTATTCCACTTATGGGGAGAATGTATGTTCCACCCAGAGCACAGGAACAACTTAATAGTTATGGAAATGCCAGACTAAGCCAAACCAAATCAGAGAGAGCAAGAGCGTTGACAGAAAAGTGGTTCCCTCCACTAGGTAATTCTCAAACACAAAGGCTATTCTCTAGTCATTCCTAAATGGTTCAAGAACTGTCAATCATTCAAAAAACATCAGACACTTTTCACATACCAGGTATTGAGAGATTCAGAAACCAGGAAAACCCAGAACCTGTCCTCAAGGAACTCAGCCTAGTGATGTAGACCAACAGAGGATTAGGAGACCACATCCCAGGGTGATAGGCTAAAAGAGAAGTGGGCACAGGACTTTCGGGGAGCACATAGGTGAGACCTCCGACCTAGCCTTCACAGTGTCCCTCAGGATGGGTTCCTCAAAGTCATATCTGAACGAAGTCTACAAGTAAAGGGTCTACGTTGTTGGGTGTGTTGACGAGGCAGGAGTGGAAGGCCACACACCTTCACGCCAGAAAAAGTAAAGTGCAAAAAAGACCCCTGACCCTTCCAGGGAACTGCAAGCACTTCAGTACGGCTCCGATAAATCAAAATGTGGCATGAGGTCAGCCCCGTGGCTTAGCAGTTAAGTGTGTGCGCTCCGCTACTGGCGGCCTGGGTTTGGATCCCGGGCGCGCACCGACGCACCGCTTCTCCAGCCATGCTGAGGCCGTGTCCCACGTACAGCAACTAGAAGGATGTGCAGCTACGACATACAACTACCTACTGGGGCTTTGGGGAGAAAAAGGGGAAAAAAAAAGAAAAAAAAAAAAAACAGAATGTGGCATGAGAGGAGACCAGATGGTCAGTAGACACTAGTCACCACGGCTTGGAGGGAGCAACTGGGGCTGCCGAAATAAACATTACTTTTTCCAAGAGGGAACAAGCCTGAGTTCTCATACCCATATGTCAGTCACACCATGGGAAAAAGCACAGTTGCCACTCCTACCACAGGCATTGTATTAAAATAGTTTTCTCAAGACCTCACGTGGCCTGCAACACCAACTATGGCCTGCACACATTCCTACTGAAAGCCCTCAAGTAATTCACAACACACCTGATGGTCAATCAGCAGTTCCTCTGGGTAGAGCTCCTCACAAAATTCACAAGGCAACATGGTGTCATCAGCTGCACCTAGGTATCAGGCCACACAGTCAGACTCAAAATGAACAAAAACAAGCTTGATTCAGTCTTTTATCCTCCTTGTGGGGTTTCATATAAATTTTGACTTCCTTTGACATTTCTTAGATGTAGCAATTTGTGGGGCTGTAAATCCTCAAAGGGAAACCATCTAAGAGACAAACCCTAAGCAAAAAACTTCCACTATGGAAACAGATTTACTTGTCGCCATTTCCTGAGTAGCAGTCAAGTAGTAGCTTACCTACTGCTCTAATTAAGGAAGAAATTTAAATGTGTAATAACTAGGCACTAATCTAAGAGCATTCTGTGCATTATTTCAATTCTCAAAAAAACTTATGAAGTAGATCCTACATATTCTCATTTTACAGATGAGGAAATTGAGGCTCATATGTTACTAGCAGACAAATATCAGAAAATACCCTCCTAGTACAAAATACCAAAAACAATGCTGAAGAAAAGCAATTTGAATAAATAAATATAAGAGCAATTTTTTTTTTTTTTTTTTTT